TGCATTCCCTGTATCTGGTCTCCCCGGACTCTGCATTCCCTATATCTGGTCTCCCCGGACTTTGCATTCCCTATATCTAGTCTCCCTGGACCCTGCATTCACTATATCCGCTCTCCTCGGACTCTGCATTCACTATATCCGGTCCCCCCGGACCCTGCATTCACTATATCTGGTCTCCCCGGACCCTGAATTCACTATATCCGGTCTCCCCGGACCCTGCATTCACTATATCCGGTCTCCCCGGACCCTGCATTCACTATATCCAGTCTCCCTGGACCCTGCATTCACTATATCAGGTCTCCCCGGACCCCGCATTCACTATATCAGGTCTCCCCGGACCCTGCATTCACTATATCAGGTCTCCCCGACCCTGCATTCACTATATCAGGTCTCCCCGGACCCTGCATTCACTGTATCCGGTCTCCCCGGACCCCCCAGCATTCACTATATCTGGTTCCCCGGACCCTGCATTCACTATATCTGGTCTCCCCGGACCCTGCATTCATTATATCTGGTCTCCCAGGACCCTGCATTCACTATATCTGGTCTCCCAGGACCCTGCATTCACTATATCCGGTGTCCCACAGTACACAGAACACGGAAATTCAAATATTTTAATAAATTTAAACTGCTAAATACCTTTTCTTATCAGCCGTAGATAGTAGTTTAGTGACTTCTATCAGATCAGTGCCCAGCAGAACACTGGTTAAAGGAGGAAGTTTTAATTCTCCCCCGATTGTCCTATGAGGCTGCAAGACCCCTTACCCTCTGTGTGGAGGGCGCTGTGCTTATCACATGCACTCTCCCAAGAACAAAAAAAAACAATTTAGCAATATACACCAAATTGAGCACGTGCAGCTTACCCCCAAGACTCTGTTCTATCAGCAGATTGATTGGGGACTGTAGAAGAAGGAGAAGATCAGGGGAGACTGGATCAACCATCCTTTTTTGATTATTATTATACAGGATTTATATGGCGCCAACAGTTTGCTCAGCGCTTTACAATATAACGGGAGACAATACAGCAACAATACAGTTCTATACAAGAGGGATAGGAGGGCCCTGATCCTGGGAGCTTACAATCTAAAAGGGAGGGGCTGGTGGTACAAAAGGTAATAACTGTGGGAGAGATAAAAGATTCAGTTATTAGCTGAAGGCAGGATAGGCTTCCCTGAAGAGAAAGGTTTTCAGAGAGTGTGCAAAGTAGGCGACAGACGGATCGATTGTGGTAGAGAGCTCCAGAGGATGGGCGTGGCTCTGGAGAAGTCTTCTTTTAACACGATACAGAGGATTAACCCCTTAGGTTCCACAGTGAGTATACCAAGCATGCTTTACTGCATCTACAGACTGACTGTACTGTTGTGGGCTTAGTAAACCCACATATAAAAAATAAAACAAGAGTTATGACTGCACTCCCTACCTGCCTACGAGGCAGCATACGCCGAACATATTTCAAAACAGTGTTACAAAATGCATGCTTGCAAGAGTAAACCGTACCATCCCCAGGATGCCTTTACATCCATCTATAAGTCGAAATGGCAGCAATAAGGCTTTTTTTTTTTTATATTATCCTTCTTTGCAGAGATAAAATGCATCAGAATCCACAGCAAGGGAATAAAAGCATGTATTTCCTGCGGGAGCACTACAAATACAACGGGAATCCTTCAGAATACGCCTAAATATTTCCTCCCGCGTTCGCAATTAATTTTGTTGTTGCGCGAGCAGATTCCCCGTAGACTTACAAGTTATTACACTCGTGGAGACGTTATGTAGCGAGGAAGATTTGCTGAAGGTTCAGAGTCCGCAGAAAAGCTCATTAAAGGAAGAATTAATCTTTCCTATAGCCATTAATATCCATAAGCAAGCCGTAAATACCGCTCCCTGTTAAATAAATATATATCCCGCTAACCGAGGCCCGAAACGTATAGAGACGAGCGGATATAAATAACACGATGATATTTACAGTACCTGCAATTAATGTGGGTTTTCATAATGTCTGAACAACGGCCGGGGGTTTATTGAAAGAACCTCTTATGGATTCCTTTTTATTCATATACGGCCATTACGAAACAATAGCGGTTAATTTGTGTCATAACCCATCGATTGCTGCAGTAAAGCCTGCAACTCCCTCTCCTCTGACTTCCTTTCTGCTGATCCAGGGAAGCGGCTAAATTATAACGCCAATCACTGCCATCACTGGGGCACCGTGGGAAATAGGCTGTGCGTTAGCAGGAGGACACAGGGGCCCGCTTCTGCTTTGTCAACAAGAGGGATGCAAAAAATGTAATCAGTCTGCTTTCTTGACAGCCGTTTTTTTTATTTTTTTTTTGCTGGAGCTTATCAGATCACTAGGAATTGGGGCTATCACTAAGATATCTCCCTTTGATAACGTGCTCGTCCGCACGAAACGCGTCAGGGTGGAGCCTAGCCGGTGACGTCACGCCGCCCCGCACCTCGTGGAGGCCGGCGGCCATCTTTGTTTCTGGGCTACCCTATGTGAGTGTACTGCATTGTGTTCAAATAAAAACGTCTGTACATACTACACTATCAGTGCTTTTTTGGGGTGGGCTGTATGGTTGAGCCCCCCCTTTCAAGGTGGACATCTATTTTGAGCGCCCTGCTCTGAGGAGTCCTGACTAGCTGTATGACAACCGTTGCTGGATGCCTGGTGACCCCCTGCTGGTTAGAGGAAGGAGCATCTCCATCAGAGTGACAGCCTGCCAGATGACCCATATTGCCTCAGCCTTCTAGTACCAGGAGTGGTCTGACAACTCAAAGGCGCATATTATGCGCTTTCTGGTGAGTGCATATACTATACCCACCTATGAGCACGGAGTCGACAGCATTCGCACTTATTATTGGGACGATTGATATATCACCTGAGGACGTTATTTTCACTTCAAGCACTTTAGCTATCACCCATTTTCAATTTTAATTTTATTAGACGCATGATTTATATATGAGTCATTGCTTATCCTTTTTAGTGCTGCATATATTTTTATTATTTATACTAAGAAATATATATTCACACTGATTCATGAGGCCTTACGCCACAACGATGCTCCAAATTCACTGCAGAGGTTCTCATGCCTTAGTGGTAGGCCTAGATCTCTGTGGAGTACGTGTACCTCGTTCATGGACTGGTTCCTAACAAGAGTTCCTTGAAATTAATGAAGGCCCTAGTTCCTAGGAGTGTCTTATATCTTAGTAATGTCTAAGCCAACCTTCTTACCTCGGAGGAGCCCTTGGCAAAAAAGTCTGAGATCTTGGGGGAACTCCTGAAAAAATGTTTATATCTACTGCTCACAGAACATTGGTGTGATCAACGAGCTGTTGACATAATTATTTTTAGAAATTGCATCAAATAATGGATTCAGTATTAAATCATACGTATTTAACCTTGGCGCAGCTTCTTCCAGGCCTTCAAGGCGTTTGTAATGCCGGGAGGCGGGGTTTATGTTCATGTGACCGCCATGATTGATAGCTTTCCTATAGATGCCGGAAGCTTGCAGGGCGTGCGCTTTTAGCACATTTGTTTACGCAAATTTTTGGCCTCTCTGCGTCAAGGCCCTCCTGCCGAGAGACCGTATATTTGCGTACCGCCAGCACCAAGAGGTTAATAGGAAACTTATACTTGCTTTTTCTGCACATATACTCAATTCTAGGTCCAATTTGAGCTACAGTACAGAGGGTCAGGAAGGCATATTACATGGGGGCAGGGCACATTACATGAAGTACAATACGGGGCACACAACAGGGCAAATTACAATATGGTTTTGTTCATATGCAGAGAAAGGCAGGGAAGCGGCTGCGATCAGTCCTCCTTTTGGTATGCTGTTCCCAAACCAGCCTCTCCTCCCCATCCCAGATAATGCCACAAACAAGCACCTAGGATGGAAAGGAGGGGTGGAGGGTGGCAAGGAAGAGTACACCAAAGCAAGCAGTAGCATAGCCGCTTCCCTGCCTAGCTCTGCATGTATCTGCAGAAGAAGTGTGATCAGGGGATGTCAGCTGCCTGTGACTGATGGGTAGATCACAGCAGAACCCCCGTGGACCTCTTGCAAGGCCCTGATTGAAAAACCCTAGTCTAGACCTCTGTGAAGTTCCTTGTGCCTCAGCGATAGCATCAGATTCCAGGAAAGATCCTTATGCCCCAGTAAGTGCTTTAGCTACTAGCAGAGTTCCTTGTACCTCAGTGATGGACCCAGAGGACATCTTTGCACTTCAGAATGATGGCCCTAGTTCCCGCAGAAGTCCACTGCATCTTAGTGATGGCACTAGTTCCCAAAGAAGTCCACTGCATCTCAGTGATAGCACTAGTTCCTAAAGATGTCCACTGCACCTCAGTAATGGTCCCATTTCCTACTGACGTAAACCTCAGTTATGACCCCAATTCCTATTGAACTCCACTGCACCTCATCGGAGGCCCTAGTGCCTAATGAAGATCACTGCACCTCAGAGATGGCCCTAGTTCCAAAGAAGTCCACCACAACTCTAGCTCATAGAGGAGTTCCTTATACCTGACTGATGGCCCCAGTTCCCAATGGAGTTCCTTGTAATTTAGTGATGCCCTGACTTTATAGTGGGTTAATGTTGTCCAGATTCATAAAATTGGGAGCTGGGTAACTAGTGTTTATTACCAAAACCCTCTTGATGCAATTATTGTGTCAATTGTGAAACTATTTTTAAAGTAGCCATTATGGTCTAGCTAACTGTATATATGTTTAGAGATATTCATTCCTTCCAAGGTAAAGAGCAAAAAAAAGTTAATTGAGGGAGCTTTTACCCAAGCTGTTTATTTCGCCCTTCTGTCTTTTGGTTCCTTTTAAAATGATCTTAGGCCATCTCACCTTATACAACATTATTGCTGCATTACATTCATGTTACCCAGGCCGGCTACCAAGTTTTTCATTACTGCACAAGATATTTGTGATTAATTACTTTAGACAAGAAAACTGATAAATAAGGGTCAGAACATGTTTTTTATATATCCCCCTTACCTTTGTTGCCAATAACCGGGTGAGATAAATTTCAGACACCATCTTGCTCCCTCTGTCTCCTTCACGCTGGTCCAGGTGATCGTGGTTCTTGACTAGGTGCCAGAGCTTTGTACCGCTTTCCAGGTCTGGGGTGATCATAGGGGTTCGTGAGCGCAGGCTGTCAGGGCTGGACGCTGTCCGTAGCATGCTCTCTGAGGAGAAAGAGTTCACAGGGTGAGCGTGAGGAATTCCTAGATGCGCCCTTTCAGTCCCTACCACTATAGCTATGGAGGCATCACTTCCCATCCTAATTAAGCTTCATGTGGTGTCATGATCCACTTCAATGCTGCCAACCCATTACAATAATCACAATCCTCCCCTCGCCGTCTCCATCACCTTCCACCGTCTCACAAATATCTGAATAATCGTCTGTCTGCAACATCTAGTCCCTTCATTTTCCATTCCATCTAGCCCACATTTTAGCTGTTATTATCTATTTAGCTTACAGTCCGTGACCCCATCTGCAGGAAAATGGTTTTTCATCTGAGTTCTGTCACTGCTGAAACACGGTGCGGGATGGAGATAGACTGTGACATGGAAAAAATGAAGGAAAAAAATGTACTGAAATATAAGTGGGGCACAGCCATTCTGTAGGCCAAGTTAAAACTCTGCTTATGAATTTCCTGAGGGAAACGGTGTCGTCAGTTGAATATGATGTAAAAAAAAGGTTCCTAAGGCCCCACTGATATCACTAGCTACTTGTGAACTGACAAACAGAAAACAGGATTGACAAAGAAAAATGTCTGCTATTGCGATGTCACCACCATCTACTCTATTGGCTTGGGTATGCTCGTCAAAAAACAAGCCACACTCAGTCGCAGCGTAGTTAGACTGAATGTGGATTTTGGCAACAGAAACAGTTTGTGTTGAGAAACCCAGATGATGATGTCCTCAAGCATCGCCTACAGCTCAACCTATTGCCCGTGAAGTTGTCTGATGTGGTCCACAACCTCAAACCAATGTCCACCCACACAGCCTCCTGTAGGTGCACGCTGCTCTACTGAAGGTTTACCAGTCCTCCAAAAGCTCAACAGCTTTCATACACAAGCCACTATTATGGCCAGCTCCCCACCATACTCTATTTCCTAACACACAGACACAGGGAGAGGAGCCTTTATCTGAGTGGATTACATCTACTGGCATCCATACAGAGGTTCTCACAGTTGCGTGATGAGTTTAGTGTCATCCCGTGACCATGTTGAACGCATTGTGTATCATTTTATCTTTGCTTAATAATAACGTTTATTGCACTACAAGGGCATGCGCTTGCCTGAAATGTAGTTTTTTTTGCTTAAATTGTCCACAGTCCTTGTTTTGGCAATTCAAGGGATGGCTTCAAAGACCCTGATATAGTGAAGGCTGCCACACTTGTTTTTTGGCTGCGTGCAAGAGTGGGATTTTTTTTTTTTTTTTTTGTGCATATACACTAAATGCAAATGGAGAAATAGGAAAAGGGCACAGCGACCTCAAGGGGCGTACAATCTAAGGCCCCTAACTTACATTCATACATACACATACTAGGGACAATTTAGACAGGAGCCAATTCACCTACTACAAATGGAGAAACAGAAAAAGGGCGCAGCGACCTAGTGCATTATTGTTTAAAATATTTATTGAAGAAACAAAGTAAGTATCATACTTACAATAGACATATAAACACAGGCATGTCAAACTGAACAAGATGTATGATCCAAACAACATCTGAGCCCATACGATGGAACCCTGGATGACCAACTTGCTAACGCGTTTCGAGGACACAACCTCTTCCTCAGAGCCCTCGAAACGCGTTAGCCAGTTGGTCATCCAGGGTTCCATCGTATGGACTTCAGATGTTGTTC